CACTTTATGGCCAAAGGTATTGCATTTAATTTATTATACCAATTACACATTTAACTTTGATTTAGTGATAATTAATTGAAAATTTGCATGATTAATTTTAGGTTCAAGTAGCATCAACTAAGGGCAAGGAAATAGAAACAGGCCACACAAAGGAATCAATTGTTGGTCCACAGAAAAAGGGTGTTGTGTCTTCATCATAACTTAGTGACATGGTTTTGTCTCAAGGTGGTGCATGCTTAGACATGATGAAGCTATTTGTTAGGAGCGATCAGGCAATTGAATATGATAATATTCAATTACCTGAGAAGTATTGGGGAAAGGAGTTTCATGATGTTGTGGGGAAGGAGAACATACTAGAGGTTATCTGTCGTCACTGGCTAAGTGTCTCTAGCATTTGCTTGTACATTAGGTAATAATAAATACTTAATTTTTATTTGCTTAGGTTGGTTACTTTATGTTGATATATTGAACTTAATTCATTGTTCACCTTCAATTATATTATAAGGTATTTGTGTGACACCTACTTGCATGGTACTGATCAATAAAGTAGGTTCTCCTTCATATCTCCATATGAGCTAGGTGAGAAGCTCAATGTCAACCCACATCAACATATAGCAGACATGTTGAAGCTTCATTTGGGTCAAGATCACTTGGTATTTGCTCCTTATAATGTCAGGTAAGTTATTCTTGTGTGATTGATCAATTCCCTTCACATATTCTAAAATTTGTTGATTATATCTTTTTATTCCTCACTTTGTATTGTGTTCAATAATTTTAGTTCACGTTGGATTCTAATTGCTATCAATACTCGGGATGAGACATTGTATTATTTTGATTCATTACGCCATCACTATAAGAGCATAACACATATGCTCAACGTTTTTAACAAGTAAGTAAACTCATATGACTGTTTCACATGTGAATATCCAATACGGTAAGATATTTATATTAACTTCTTGCTTTTTCAGTGCCCTACTTGCATATAGAGCTTAAAGGAGGCTTCAAACGCCAAAGACAAAGATGAATCAAACAAGATGGGTTAGTGCATAGGTATCAAGTGTACCCAGTTCATGTTTTCATACATGCTTATTTTAATTGGCGGTTATTCAAAGCTATCTTTATGTTTTTTCGTCTACAAAGTGTCCTAAGCAAATGAACTTAGATGATTGTGGATATTACGTAGCCTTGTTCATTGGAGATGCACTGCAGCATCGACAAACTTCTTTTCCAGTTAACATAAGAACCATTTTTGCATTATGGCTATGTTTATATGAAAGAATAATGTATTGTGATTATTTATCTAATTTGGTATTTAACTTTTGTGATTCTTTTCTATCTATGTTTGCAGTATTTTCCAGAATCTCGCTTTGCTACCTTTCCAGACCTTAGAATTGAGCAGCTACAAAAGGAATGGTGTGCATATTTCTACCATACAGTTTTGAAGGACAAAATCAGCACCATAGACTCTTAGGGATTTTTTTTAATCATTTCAATTATTTGATGTATATGTGCCAATTTTGTTTCATACAAATTTTAGTTCTAATTTGTCAAATTTTGAATTGTTTTTCTATAATTCTGTGAATATATATTGTATGCTGGCTGGATTTTGTATGATTAATTTGATATATACCCTGAAATTGTGGTCTATCACGACAAATTATTAAGAAAAAATTTTGGATTTAAAAATTTAAATTAAATTATTTTTTATTTGGGACTTTAGATAGTGATTCCTAGAAACGTTATCTAAACATACTAAAAGAGAGCGGTTCTAGAACTAAACACTATTAAAAGTATATTTTAGATAACGATTGTTGTTTTAACCGTTATTATATGTGTAATTTTTAAGAGCGATTCATCATTCCAACCGCTATTATAAATACAACTTTGCATAGCGGTTCCACGTTAATTACTATTATATCTTATTTACGATAGCGGTTAGTTAACCGTTATCTAAACATCATTCTTTTATTAGCACCTCATTTAATAGAGTTTTTAACCGCTATTATAGAGCATATGGAACCGTTATTACATGTCTTTTATGTTGTAGTGTTTATAAAAATACTTAAAAAGACTTGTTGATTTAATAAAATTTCAATCTAATTTTTCATGGGTAGAATATCCGATCCATTCATAAAATTAATTCTAAAATTATGATTTTGAAAAAGTTTTCAAAAGTAAATTTTGTAAAAATTTAGAAATATGTTTTTGAATTTTTTAAAAATATAAATTTAAGAAAGATTTTAAAATTAAAGTTAATATATTGGAGGGTCCATTAAATTTTGAGAAACAATGGAGGGATCATTGATGATTGAATTTTTAAACACTTTTGTAGTGAATATGGATTTATACGTGAATGAACATGATGATGGGGATAAATAAATTATTTTTGTAACTAATTACGTCCAGCATGTCTCCAAGGTTGATGATGAAAGCATTAGGGAGGGTTTTATAGGAACCCATAAACCATCTTTCTTAATTTGAAGCATCTTTCTTAATTTGAAGCATCTTTCTTAATTTGAAGCGCTTCAACTTCATTGACTTTAGATGACAATTAAACCCGTATATATTGGGATTGATTCATCCTCGCCTTGAATTTGACAGGAAAAAACTGAGTTAATAGAAGGCAGAGCATGCAGTGGCAGATCTTCTTGGGAGCTGAGGGGGGCCGTGGCCCCCCCAAAGTTTTGTAACTCCCATGTAATTTATGATTTTGGCCCCCCCAAACATAATGAGCATTTAATATATTTACTTGTATATTTACAATTTTATCCTCCCAGCCCCTCCTAACTCTCATGTAATTTATGATTTTGTTTCCCTCAAACTTAATGATCATTTAATATATTTAAGTATATATTCACAATTTTATCTTTTCAACCTTTCATATTCTCTCTTCCTTTTATATTTATTTATTATTTATTAATAATATATTATTTGGCCCCCCCAAGATCAATGGTCAAGATCCGCCACTGAGAGCATGTTTAAGTTTTCTCTACTTTAAAAAGTCGGGGGCAGGGATGGAGATGGATAATGCAATCTCCACCTCAACCTTGACCTCGTTCTTGCCCAACTTTATATTAAAATTTAAATTTTGAAATATTAATATTTTAAAAGTATTTTTTATTTTTTCATTATGTATATGATACTTTTTTTTATATTTCATTATTTTTAATTTTTTTCTACCCGTTTTTTAATTCTTTTATCTTTTTTAATCTTTTATATCAATTAATTCATTATATTATTATCTTTTTCTTTTATTTCACTTTTTCACATTTTCTTAATCTCTCCAATCAATTTGTTTTTTCAATCAATTTAATGAACACAAAGTTAATTTTTCTTCCTTTTTATCTTTTTTTTAAATATGTTACATAAATTTTAGTAACAACTAATATTATTTTATTTATAATTTATCCTTATTAGGTTTAATTATGTCATATTTTTAGATCTTATTATTCTTATTTGTCATATATCAAATTTTATCTTAATAAAATAATTGTATTTTAAAGGATTAAAAGAATTGATAATTTAAACTTTTATTACTTTGAATTAATTAAATAAAAATTAATTTATTGAGTATTTCCTTATAAATTATATATTTCATATTTTTAAATGACAACTTAAAAAAATTAACTTATATATATAATCAAATGTTTGAATACAATATTATAATAATAGTAATGTTATAAATATTCAAATATTTAATACAGTATTATAATCATAATAATAATAATAATAATAATAATAATAATAATAATAATAATAATGTTATGTATAAAGAAAAAATGATTAAATATTTTTTTACATACATATTTTATTTATATTAAAATATATATTGAATTGATAATAGTTACAAATTGTAAAATTATAAATATTTATTTATGTATAAATAATACATAAAATAATAAAATTAATTTATTATAAATATAATTATTATTTTAAAAATAATGTAGACCGAGAATGAGGCGGAGGCGAGAAAAAACCCAACAAAGACGGAGGTGAGGACTTAATTTTAACCTAGCGATAATCCGGGGTGGAGAAGGTTAAGAAAGTCGGGGACGAGAAATGGGAAGGCAAAACCCGTCCCCTTCCCCGTCCCTGCCCCGTTGCCATGCCTAGCTTGGAGAACGATGGTGATGCCCTCACCCCAAAACTAGCTCTGGTTGGGGACATGGAGGATAGTAATTCATCCTCATTGATTGAACCCCTTCACCAAATAACTCTCTAATTTCCTTCTTCTCCACTTTGAGGGCATTTCCCACAAGGCCAAATAGTTTGATCATAAGGTTTTTCAATTCGCTACATTAGCTCTCTAAAGCATATATGCAAATGAAGATTGTGGTATTAAATTACTAAAAAAAGAAAAAAGAGATAAAAATAGTATCAGAGTGATTTTCTTCTATCTTCTTGTTGGGTCATTCGAGGGGTTTATTGAAGGAGATACAACATCAATGAGATATGAGCTCAACCCACATAAGATATTGACACCATCTTCTACCCAAAGCCTAAATTTCCCTCGAAAGACCCAATAGTGGTATCAAAATTGATGGTTTGTATGGTGACTGATTATTTAAGAGTGATCCTTGTATTGAAAGTCTTCATGACAGTGGGTCAAGTAAGCATGTCCTGTTATGATGAACGATGGTACATGAGAAAGATACTAGTGAGTTTGAGGGGATATACCAATGTGAAGACACTAACACTTGAAGAGGAAATTGTTGAGAAATTCAAATGTGAGTGTAAGTATGTAAGAATGAGAAAATTTAGCAACATATAAGGAAGAAAAACCTATAACCCAATGCTTTAAGATTTTGGGTAGAAGGTAACGTCAATTTTTTATATGTTAGACTCGTGTTTCTCCCAATTAAACCCCTCAATAGGCCCAACAGAGATTTATTGATTTTCAAAGTAAATAGTGTGCTCCTTTTATAACAAGAAAAGTAAGTATCAACATATAACTTTTCTGATGTAAAACTTCTCTTCTCACAAAAAATATCTCCTTGCAGTACTATGATCGTTGTGGTTGTCGGAGAGATGGAGTCAGTTGTACTGTCATTGACCTGCATCACGCCTCCCTTGGCTTGTGTCGCTCTCTTGGTTGGGTTGTTGTTGTCATCGATGTTGTCTTCTCTCCCTTATTGTTGCCCTCTATTCTTGGTTAATGTTAAGCGTGTTATTCAAGTCCTTCACATCCAACTGGGAAAGTCTCTGAAATTTTGGGAAAAATGCTATAGCTATTGTGGATTTGATTGTCCCTAATGTATATGGCATGCTGGGTTGTTTGTTCATATTAGTGTTCCTTTATATGGTAAGACTAGATTGTGAATGTTTTTCATGCTTAGCGTATTTATAAAACCATGCTTACTAAATATAGACACCAATTCATAATTTATTTGTACTGCATCCATTCCCGAAGAAGGTTGTATTGCATACTACTAGAACAAGAGTGCCTCTATAAGCATCACAAACATATCGTGTAAAATTTTCATTTCCTGAATTAACACAATTGATAACAGTATTTGCTCTTTATTTATGGTATCATCACAAGAATATGTAAAATATACAACTGATATGTGTGTCAGTATGAGTGTGTTCAATTATGTGAATGAGGGGAAATTTTGTGTGATGACATATAACAGTGGTGACGCAAAGATTAGCCAAAACAATAGACATGTACACTATTTTCTAGTTGAGGAGGAAAGTTAGAGAAAGAACCAACCTTTCCAATTGATTGAATGTTTACCATTACCGAAGGCAGAAATTCGTGGGGTGGGCAAAATTTGCAGTTTCATTTATATACTTTTGTCCAATCTGCAAAGTTCTATGCTAAAGATCATAAACACTAGTGCAAAGAAGGGCTTCTATGTCACCCAATTGTCGTCGCATGTAAAAATATTCGACGTAAATAAAATGCGGTGACAATTTTGTAAATAAGAGACAAAAGTTTTACGTCGCACATCCCAGCACGCGACGTAAAAAGCCTCTTTTAAGTCGCACCTGGGTGGCGCGACGTAAAAGAAGGCTTTTTACGTCGCGTGCTAGGGTGCGCAATGTAAAATGTGATAGCTTTTTACGTCACGCCCCCCAGCACGCGATGTAAAAAGCTTTCTTTTACGTCGCGCCACCCAGGTGCGACGTAAAAGAGTGCTTTTTACATCGCGTGCTGGGATGCGCGATGTAAAAAGTCCCTTTTATTCCCCCCAGACCCACTCCCTCATCTCGCGCAGCCAGGGTTTTTGAGAACGATGACGAGAATGACGACAACAACTACCTCTGCACACCATTTTCGATCAGTTTGACAGTGAAAAACATCAACATTGTGTGTCATTTTACGAACTTGATATTTCTCCCCGATTGGATTCGAGTTTGAAATCATTTTTCGTCTACACTCGAGGTTAGTGTTCTATGTCATTGCTATAAGTCTAAATTGAATCCGTGATTGTTTTTGGGGATCTCAATCACGTTATAGTATGAATGTCTCCACTGGATTGTTATTAGAATGTAATTATTTGTTTGAGTGCATTTTCGGTTTACACACTCCATTGTTGTTGGAACGTGCTTTGTTGTTTGTATATTAATTTCTTTTTACATATAATTTTTAAATCTCTAGGAGTGACGAAACTTTATAACATAATATGAATCGAAGTTGGATGAATGCACGTCGTATTAGTGAAGAGTACGAAGAGGGAGTTGAGGAATTTTTGAAATTTGCTAGTGAAAATGGAAAAGCTATGAAAGGGACATATTATTGTCCATGTGTTCGTTGTTTTAATCAAATTTGTCATAAACTTGAGGATATACGTGATCACTTGTTTGTTTATGGTATTATTAAGAGTTATACAATACGAACATGGCATGGAGAAATATTAGACATCCCAACTGTGTCAACTACAGACAATTTTGATGAAGGGATGGATGATAATCTAGAGGATATGATATGTGATATTGGTGAAGAAAATTTTATAAAAGCACATCTATATGATTCTTTGAAATCTGATTTTGCGCAACAATTGTACATAGAATGTAGTTTTACAAGATGATCAGCAACTTTAAAATTGTTTACTTTAAAAGCAAGAAATGGATGGACTGATAATAGTTTCACCGAATTATTGGAGTTGTTGAAGGAGATGCTTCCTGAAGATAATACATTACCTATTCGTAACTATGAGGCAAAGAAAATATTATGTCCAATGGGTTTAGAGTACAAGAAGATACATGCATGTCCTAATGATTGTATATTGTACAGAAACGATTTTGCTAAATTAAAGATGTGTCCGACATGTGGTTTGTTGAGGTTCAAAAACAAAGTTGAGGAAAGTAGTGGTGAGGAAGAACTAGATGGTCCCCCTGCTAAGGTGTTATGGTATTTGCCAATTATACCTAGGTTTAAAAGATTATTTGCCATAAAAGAAGATGTAAGAAACTTCACATGGCATGCAAATGGTAGAAAATGTGACAATCTTCTTCGACATCCAGCTGATTCTCCACAATGGAAAAGGATTGATGAAACCTTTCCAGAATTTGGTGCAGAGCCAAGAAACTTGAGAATTGGATTAGCTACAGATGGGATGAATCCTTATGGAAATTTAAGTAGTAAACATAGTTCATGGCCAGTTTTGTTGATCATTTACAATTTGCCTCCTTCGTTATGCATGAAGAGAAAATATATGATGTTATCTATGATGATTTCAGGACCTCGACAACCAGGAAATGACATAGATGTATATCTTAGTCCTTTAATTGATGATTTGAAGATGTCATGGGAAACAGGAGTGGATGTATTTGATTCATATCACGAAGTGAATTTCAGGTTGCGTGCAATGTTATTTTGTACTATAAATGATTTTCCAGCATATGGTAATTTGAGCGGTTATAGTGTGAAAGGTCATTTAGCGTGTCCTTTATGTCAAGAAGACACAAGTTATATCCAATTGAAACATGGACAAAAAACTGCGTACAATAGGCATAGAAAGTTTCTAGTTGCTAATCATCCATATCGTAAAATGAAAAAAAGCATTTAATGGATGTCAGAAGAATGCAGTTGCATCAGTACCACGCTATGGTGAACAAGTATATGAGCAAGTAAAAATATTAATATTGTGTTTGGAAAGACCCAAAAGAAATCCAATGAGAAAACATTTGGAAGAAATAGTCTATATTCTTCAATCTTCCTTATTGGTGTAAGTTGGAAGTTAGACACTGTATAGATGTGATGCATGTTGAAAAAAATGTTTGTGATAGTATAATTGGGACATTGCTTAACATAAAAGGAAAGACAAAAGATGGAATAAAAGCAAGACAAAATTTGGCAGACATGGGTATACGTTCTGAATTACATCCACAATCAGTTGGAAAACGCACTTACTTACCTCCAGCTTGTCATACTCTATGAAAGAAAGAAAAGAGAAGCTTTTGTGAGTGTTTACGTGAGGTCAAAGTGCCACAAGGATACTCCTCAAATGTTAAGAGTCTTGTGTCTATGCAAGAGTTGAAATTAGTTGGTTTAAAGTCTCATGATTGTCATGTGTTGATGCAACAACTTTTACAAGTGGCTATTCGAAACATCTTACTAACTTCTGTTAGAATTGCTATTACTCGGTTATGTTTGTTTTTCAATGCCATTTGTAAAAAGGTAATTGATCCAAAAAAGTTAGATGAATTAGAAAATGAAGCAATTGTAATAGTGTGCCAGTTAGAAATGTATTTTCCCCCTTCATTTTTTGATATCATGGTGCATTTGATAGGCCATTTGGTAAGGGAAATTCGGTTATGTGGTCCAATTTTTCTTAGATGGATGTATCCTGTTGAGAGATACATGAAGATCTTAAAAGGATATGTGAAGAATCAGTACAGGCCAGAAACTTCTATTGTGGAAAGGTACATTTCAGAAGAAGCCATTGAGTTTTGTTTAGGATACATGTCAAAATCAGAACCAATAGGTATTCCTAAGATGAGACATGATGGAAGATGTGAAGGTAAGGGTACTCGAAATTTAAACATTAAAAATGTTAGTCGGAAAGAAGTTGACCAAGCACATTTATACATATTGAACAACACTGATGAAGTAATCCCTTACATATCACAACACATAACTGAAATAAAGGCAACACATCCACAAATGAATGAAAAATGGGTATTGAATGAACATAACAAAAGTTTCCTTTCTTGGTTTAAAAAAAGGGTATATGTTGAGATTAATGTTTCAGAAACACTTTTGAGACTTGCTCGTGGGCCTAATAGTGATGTCATTACATTTGGTGGGTATGACATTAATAATTATTGTTTCTACTCAAAAATAGAAGATGATAAAGGTAGAGTACAAAATAGTGGGGTCACAATTCAAGCTGAATCTGTGCATTTTTCTAGTTCTAAAGACAAAAATCCTATCACAGCTTCTATGAGTTATTTTGGGGTCATACAAGAGATATGGGAAATTGATTATGTTACTTTTAGGGTGCCTGTCTTCAAGTGTAAATGGGTTGAAGGGAATACGGGTGTGCGAACAGATGACCTAGGATTTACTTTGGTTGATTTGAGTAAAGTTGGGTATAAGGATGAACCTTTTATTTTGGCATATCAAGCGAGACAAATATTTTATGTCAAGGATCCATGTAATGAGAGATGGTCAATTGTCCTTGAAGGAAGAAGCATGCACGGAATTCATGAAGATGAGTCTCTAGATATACATGAAACACCTTCATTTTCAAGTAGACCATTTGATGACATAGTTGACAATGAAGTTGATGACATACATGCAATTCGAAGTGATCATGATGAAGGGATATGGGAAAACATACCAACATAATAGGTGTTTATCTTCACATTTTCTAGTTCTTTTTATTCAAACTTATAAAGTATGTTGACTTCATATTGTTTTGTTTTTCAGGATATGTCGGATTCCACATCTGGTACTGGTAGTGGTAGTGGCAGTGGCAGGAGCGGAAGTGGAGGTAAAGGTAGATCTGTCACTCGGTTAAAGGGGTTGACAGCAAGGAGGGTAGCTAGAGAGAAAACTCAAGTTGAAGTTGATCCACGTTCTGGTAAGGCATCTGGCCCAAATGCTGCTAAGTTTAAGAGCTATTTGGGACTACTAGCTCGACACCATGTTCCGATTACTACTCCATCTTGGGATGATGTAGAGGAAACCGAGAAGAACCTCATG